TTTCCCAGCATTGTTTGTTAAAGAGACTATCTTTTCTCTAGCATATGTTTTTGGCCCCTTTGTCAAAGATCAAATAGCTGAATATGCCTGGAGTTGTTTCTGCATCCTTTATTCTGTTGCATTGTCCACGTGTCTGTTTTCTCGCCATTACCATGCTGTTTTTATCACTGTAGCTTTGTAATAAAACTTTAAATCTGGGATTGTGATACCTCCTGCTTTGCTGTTGTTACTCAGGATTGCTTTTGCCCTTCTGGGCCATGAACAGGCATTTCACCAAAGCATATAGAGATGGTGTCTGAAGCATTTAACTTGCGGCTGGGACTCAGCCCAATCCCTACAATTTAAAGAGGAGAGGATGAACTGGGTGTTGTGGTGCATGCTGGTAATCCAGCACTTTGAATAAGCTTGGAAGATTGACAAGGACAGCCTTAGGTACATAGTGAGAACTTGTCTCAAAATAATTAAATAAATAAATGGAATAAAGGACTAGAGGTTTATTTTGGCCCACATATCAGTCCATGGTCAGCTGGCTCCAAAGAAGAAACAACATCACTGAGGGGCATGGTGGAGGAAAAAGCTGCTTACCTCATGACTGCCTAGAAGGCGAGAGTGAAGGGAGGAGCTGGGAAGGGTGCTTTTGTATAACCTTGACCTTGCCAACAGTGACAGGCCTCTTTGGATTGGGATTTATCTCCTAACTGCAAGTCAGCCATAATGCTCTGACTGCATAAGGCTTTAGGGAGACATTTCTATGTAAACCTTAGCAGATGCTAAATGAACACATAAAAATATGTTCAACATTACTAGCATTTAAGGAAATACATATTAAGACTGTAACTATAAAAATATAGAGACTATCAAAATAGTTGAAACAAAAAAAAGATAGTGACAATACCAAATGGTGGTAATAATGCAAAGAAACCAGATCTCTCCATTACTGTGGTGGGAATGTAAAATGGTACTGCCAGGCATTCATCAGTGGATGGCTGATGATGCAGCACCCTCATGATCCAATTGCCTTCCAAAAGGCCCACTTCTGAACACCTGAGGCTTTTGGAAGACATTCTAGATGGAAACCATACCAAATAGGCTTCTTCCACACTTGTAATTATTTCAAAATAAAAGGTTAAAAATATAGAAAGCTGTTTTTGTTTAAATTAAGACAGCACTTCTCAGAGAAAGGCTTAGAAAAACCAAAATCCAACTTTCTTTGAAGCTCTCCATCATCAGTTTTATGTTAAAACTAAGACTTTTTCCCCCCAGGAATTACAGAGCAGAAGACCAAGTTAACCAAAGAAATAAGAAAGAAAGAAGTAAACTACCAGCATCATAATGTGTTGAATTAAAAAAAAAATTTTTTTTTTTGCTAGGGATTAAACCTGTGGCTTCAGAACATGCTAAATATTTGGTCTGACACTAAGCTACACCCCCACCAATTCCTTTGTAATGGAAGCATCACCTGGCCTGATCTTTAAAAAAAAGAAAGGGTTAGGAAATACCCTATGGAAAGCTACTTACACAAAAGTGCCTTCAAGAAATTAATTTTAAAATGCTCATTGCCAGTCCTTAAAAAAATGTTTGGCTCTTTTTTCTTTTTTTTTTTTTTACAGCAAGGAACAGAAAACCCAATAGTAAGCCATAGCAGCATAGCAGAAATATAGAGCTATTATACTAAGCAAAGACTTTTTTTTTTGGTACAGAGAATCGAACTCAGGTCCTTGCGCTTGCACAGCAGGTGGCAAAACCACTGAGCTAAATCCCCGGCCCATAAGCAAAGGTTTTTTAGTCTGGTTCCTAGGGAAAGGATTCTTTGTGTCATATAACTAAAAGTCAGAAAAAAAAAGTCTGTAACAAGTTCAAGGCCATCTTGAACTGGTGAACTGTATGAAATCCTGTCTCAAAAAACCAAAAAAACATGTGCTAAGATTAATACTATCACTAAGAATGAAAATCAGGATAGGGGAATTAGAAGAGGAGGGAGGGAAAGAGGAAGGAAGGGAAAGGGAATTAAAAGAAGAAACAAGCCGTGGTAAGTACATGTACCCACTCCCCAAGATGATTGTGAACTGCAAATATGTACTAATTAAATTTTTAAAAAATTAAAAATCAAACAATATTGTTCTTTTTATGTACTTTACAAAGTATTTTGATTTTTAGCTCATTTTGACTTAATAGTTAAAATATACCCTCCAAAGAGGCATTCATTTTGGGGTTGGTAGAATGATTTGCCCAGAGTCTCATTCCAAAACACCAAAACAATTTTAATTTTTCCAAGACAATTTTA